TCGACAAGTCAATGTTGAGTTCTAATTTTAGAATACTATTCACTAATTGTTCAGTATGGTTATTCTATTGTCCTGTAAGCCTGGTTTTACTTCTTCGCAATGCACACTAAAAGGCACTCTAAAAATATCTAATTCTTTTTCAATTGTTCATAAGTCTTCAAATCGATTTTTGTTTTCAAATTCGCCATGATGTTATCAAGTTATCTTTTTTTATATTTAAGCTCTCCTATTAGCCCTAAATCAGGAATATTCAAATGCATGAATTGTGGCAAACCTTGCGCTCCAAAATTGGCTTGCTTAGTCACATCAGATTCTGCCCTGAGTCAAGGAGACAGAAGGAGTCAAATACTTAAGCTTGTCATCCTTCACAACAATCATTGAATTAATACTAGTGAAATGAGAAGAACTCATTTTAGCTAGCTAATTTGTAAATAGAAGTTGTTTGAAGCCTGGAAGGTGACCAAGATATAGTCAAATTGATTTTTTCATTGCATTTTGATAATAATTTGTCCATGTGACAGAGAAGATCTGTTAAAATGCACAGTCTGTAATCATGCAGAATATTTACATTTTTTCATATTCCGCATAACGATTTTCTCATGTAATAAAGATACTATTTCGTATTTCAGTTTCACAAATCACTAGATACGTATCTTGCTTCAAGCCTCCTTTAATTTCCTGTAGTAAAGAACATCAAAGTATACAGGATTAAGGAACTATTGAAAAAGCTCACTATGATCATTGACAAACTTTTCTTTAAATCGAGGAATAGTTGTTATATTTGAAGTTGTTATATTTGAAGTTGTTATATTTGAAGTTGTTATATTTGAAGTTGTTATATTTGAAGTTGTTATATTTGAAGTTGTTATATTTGAAGTTGTTATATTTGAAGTTGTTATATTTGAAATTGTTATATTTAAAGTTGTTATATTTGAAGTTGTTATATTTGAAGTTGTATATTTATAGATGTCTTGATGTACGATGCATTTTATGAAAATAATATTGCTCTCGAGGTAGTTTTGAGACTCCCAATAAATTTCCAGATATTTTCATATTGTATTTTTAAGCTCTATGGTCGTAATACTGTTAATTTAGATTCTTAAACATTCCACAAAGTCCCTAAAACTATCTGGCACTTTTGTTGTTCCCTTCACGAACACATCCATGTTGGACATTTGTGCAACTGAAAATGTTTCTTATAAATAATATCAATAACACCGTAACATTCACATAGGTAGGTCTATTTTCGTTTATGGTAATGGAGCAGAATTTACAATGACTAATCTTTACCGAAATTTACCGAAATAGTCCTACATATCAAATAAGAAATATGCCGTTATATTTTATCTTTCTAAGTATTTAACTAGTTGTTTTTTTTTAACGAAGTTGCCGTCAAAACGTGTTTTATAACTTTTAAATGCTTAACCAATACACAACACTTGAACTGGCATATGTATCAACTGCCTGAGTTCTATACAATTTCACAAACCTTATATTTCTTTTCGAAGAAATTCGAATTTTTGTTTTCTTCATAGGTCATGGATACATAAGGAATGGTATTTTTGTTTAGTTAGATGTGAAGTATCGGGACATTGGCGAATCCAGGGGAGAGGCGGCAGTGGAGAAAAATTTTAAAAATTTTAGTAGAGAAATAACACAATTTATATAGGAATACTTTACTGATGTTAACAATACATACTCATTAAACCTATTTTTTGATTATATCACCCCCTCAAGTATACTCAAGTATTCTGGCCGATTTGTTGTGTTGGAGGATGATTGTGTCAATCCCCACCCCAAACCCTTAGCCTTCGAGGAGTGGTGGTTCAATTTTTTTTTATAGAAATTACAGTTTGTTAATAGAATTAGTTTCATAACTTTATCTACTGCCCTCCCCACCCAAACGTTCTGAGAGAGGGGGTGGTCCAATTTTTTATGTAAAAATCATAGTTTGTAAAAAAATAAAACCTAATTGAATATCTATTTAATATAATTTTTATATTATGTCGCTCCTCTCTGGTGTCTCGGCCGATGTGGTGAGGTGGATGGGGGCGATTGTATCTACTGTTTTCCCCATTCTAACCCTATGGGGGGGGGGGCGGTCCTTTTTTATGCAGAGATTATATATATATTATACATATATATAACAAAATTATATTATATATTATATATTATATATTATATATATATATATATAACAAAATTAGTTGAATGTCTATTCAATTTAAGCTACTTTTTGATATTTGAACCTTTTGTATATAATGTCGTACCACACTCTAATCTCATTAAATCATTCTGCTGTCCTTCTTCAGTCGTAGAACGACTATGGTTCATCTCGCACACTTTTTCATGTGGCTGTGGAGCCCTATTTTGGAGAGGCACTATCTTTCACAAATATTGCAAGTTAAGGTGGCTTTCGCTTCAGTGGTAGAGGAGATGGCCATCTTTCGCATTGTACGTTTTTCTTCCAGACCTGTGGCCCATGCTTTTTCGCTGTTTATAGCTTACTTGGTCACTGTTTCTCTCCATCTGGTGCGGTTCAGAGCTATGTCTTCCCAATGGTCAGTATTGATGTTTACTGATTAGATTTCCCGTTCTATTACATCTATGTAACGGAGGTGGGGACGACCAGTTTTTCTTGAGCCAGTCGCGAGTATCGCTAGGGATGCGATTGTCCATTTTGTCCACTGTAGTGAGCTTCTGGTTTTCCTAGCGAAGGTCGAGGCAGCTTTGCCAATGCGTTTTCTTATCTCCTCTTCTAGAGACAGGTCATCTTGAATTGTGGACCCTCAGATAGCAGAATTATTTACGGCATTCAGTTTGTTATCGTCTATGTGGATGAAGAGTGGTTCTGTAACAGGTGGTACCATAACATTTTTTTTTTCGAGCTAATAATTAAACCATATTCTTTACAGGCCTAAGAGAAGCTTGCCATTAAGTGACTGAAGCTCTTCTTGAGTGTGCCACTACCGCTGCATTATCCGCGAATAGCATATCTTTTATGAGGATGGTTCTGATTTTAGCTTTGGCCTTCAGTCTGGCAATATTTAGGAGTTTGCCATCAAAACTGGAATGGAGATAGATGCCTTCGGTGGATTTGTCAAACGCCTTGTGGATTAGCAGTGAAAATAGTATTTTAAAGAGGGTTGGGGCCAGGACACATCCTTGTTTGAATCCGCTGTTTATACTGAAACTCTCGGAGCATATATAAATGTGCTATAAATTATATTCTTATTTTGAGTCACCCCTCATCTATTCTTTAATGTCAAATGCAATGATTAGCAATAGTTATAAAAAGGAAAGTGGACTCTTACAAGATGAATGGTTTATACTCTACCCCCCTCCCTTTTTCCGACAAAAACATGACATTTTAAAACAGTATAGTCTAATATGGCGACAGTCTATATTATAGTGCATGAATTTGTAATTATTATTTAAAGAAAGACTGTTTTGAAGAATGCATAATTCATAAAAAAATCTTTAACTATAAGAGATGAGTTCTGAGATATTTTTTCATAGTCGCTTTTCCCAACCTTTACTGAAGCATAAATATTTCTATTGTATAATTAAATTTGGGACTATAACTCAAAATTTATAATTGAATCCTAAAAATACACAAATTTACAGTAGAATTTAATTTGTCTACTTAATTTCTCCTCCCTCTTCCTAATTGATTTTTGTTAAGAGCTCTAAATAATAGTTCTTTAACTAAACGAAGTTACAAACAAATGTATAGATCGAAATAAATCACCTATAAATGAGATTTTTAAAAATATTATTTTTCGTCGGCGACACTCAAAGCCTTAATCTATATCTGTGGGATAACTTTTCAAGGAACAAATCGGTTATATTTGCAATGTTAGGGTCTATTAATCCATATCCGGTTATGAATGTAACGCGCATTTATAATGATATGTTTCATTTTTATTTATATTACCATACCTTGTGTTTGTAATAAAGGTTGTTTGGTGCATATTCATACATTATTTTATTTTAAATATAAATTTCAATACATTCCATAACAGACATAAACAAACGTTTTTGAAAACAAGAAGACATTATATTTTTTAACTGAATTCTCACAATGGGTATCTTTATCACGGATTCCATAAAGACTATTATGAAACACCAATATGTTTCTTTTGTGTATTTTACTTCAATGTTACTTTGTTTGTGAATTTAGTTATATAAAATATTTTTATTAGTATTGGTTATTTAATTTTTACAACAAAAAAAAAGGGTGATAATGTCAGAAATTTAACATACAACTTAAATTCTGTTATTGCATAGAAATAATTTAAATCTTTTGTTGACGGAAAAGCCTATAATTCTACCAGCAAGTACATAGAATTTTACCCCTTCGTTGATGATAAATGTTCTCAACGCATCAACTGACAAAATAAATACGAAAATGTAAGAGTACCCCATGTTACATAATAATGGGGATTGATGCTAAAAGAGCACCTTATTCTACATAGCAAAATTTGGATCAATTAATTTACATATTAGTGGGTATAGCTAAAAAGATTCAATTAGAATTATAGCTTGATGTAGGTATTTTAGATCAACAGATCAGTGTTAAGGGTGTGCTGGCACGTTCGTCCAGTGGCATATTGGCCCCTACTTGTATTTCCTAGGTTTTTAAGTATAACCTCTAGGTATACAATTAAACTTGGGTTGCTGAGTGGTTAGACGCTTGGCTTCCAAAACTGGGGTTCTGGGTTCGAATGTCGTTGAAAACAGTGATTTTGAATTCCTGGATTTTTAAGGGCGCCCCTGAATCCACCCAACTTTTGTGGATTCCAGAGTTAAGTTGGGGAAAGTAATGGCGGTTGGTCGTTATCCTGGCTACAAAACACCCTTCTCGTTAACTGTTGGCCAAATAAACAGATGACCTTAACATCATATGCGCTACAGATCACAAGATCTGAAAGGGTTACTTAACGTTTACTTTACTTTACAATTACACTAATGTATGCAAAACAAGACTTAACAAAGTCGCAGGAAGACATATATACAAAGTTTATTTAAACGAAGAGTACAGAGAATGTGTAAATAAATGGACATCAATGTCAGGTTTAGGAATTATTTGTGTTGTTGAATAGGTTTAATCTGAACATCATTCACACACAGTCGAACATAGAGTAATTAACTATGTGTATGGTTTAAATAACAATAAAAATAAATAATTTAATTGTAAGATACTGATATATGTATATGTACAATGAGAGTGATAAAATGATGAATAGATAATATATATAACATATATAGATAGATATTATTCAATAATTCACATAAGCACCTTGCTACTGCAACCACTTGTCCCCTGATTTCGTAGTCAACCAGACGATGACCGACAGAAGTCACAATACTGCTAACATCGGCAATATTAAAGTTAGACCTCTGCTGATACCAACTGGTACCAACTGATGTGTAATGGCCCTGACACTCAACGCCGTCGACGATCGCCAATCTGACAATGGCACTCAAGACTGAAATATATTTCGGAGACGACAAGCGACGCCCACAATGCCATAGAATCGAGCTCAGTATGTACAACTCCAGCACTGGCACCCTATACACGAAATAACACAAAATTCAGCCTCTATTCCAAAACTAGAAACAGCGACAATCTCATATATAACATACAATAAGAGATATCACAACGAAGTAACTCACCCTAAAACTGGGGTCCCACAAAATCCTACTGAATAATATAAGTCCAAGAAACTAGTACATACTAATAATCTTTTACGGACTAACATACCATCCGTTTCTACCAAATTCAGAGGGTGAACTGCCTCATGACAAATGAATGACCAATAGAGGTCACCGGACTTTGTGACATAGCAAAAACAATTCAAAACAAAACTACAAGGCACTCTCGCCCCGTAATACAAGTAGAGGAAAACAAACAGAGTTGGGCAAAGCAAAAGACACTTGTCTAAACTACGCGACAGTCAACTCACAGGCTTTCTCAACACAAAAAAACAACAAAAGTTACACATTCAAAAATTGTATGTCATATGTTACAACACACAATCTATTGTCAAATTAGGGAAAACACACATCAATGTAAACAAAAATAAAGGTTAAAGGCCTCAGGTCAAGACATGACCACTTTTGGTCACTCTGGGGTTACAGGCTTCAGGCTGACACAGCCACTTTTAGCCCCCCCCCCCCCCAAAAAAAAAGAAACAAAATGGTCATGAAACCTATGAGCTTACAAGCTTCATAGATTTCCACCATCCGTTCTGTGAAACCTATCTGATGATTCAATACAGAGTTGAATCTTTCAGAGACAAGGCTAGAAAAATGTCACGTTTGGGAGTACCCCAGAATGCATAACATCAGGGTTAAAATATACTGAGCCTGGAAATCCTTTGAGGCTATATTTGCTAATTAATCGCAATATATAAAATACAATGATGATTAAGATATACTTAGCCCAAAGATCTCCAGAGCAGGGCACACTTCTCCCGAGTACTCCAAGACAAACGACCCATAACTAACAGAAAAAATATATACAGTTCACAACACAGGTCCAGTGGTCAAGCTAGTTACGACTAACCACGGTCTACACGCCCTTATATAAACTTTGAAAGGGAAATCACTCCTGTGTTTACAATTAATTTTGTATTAAGTTATTTCCCAATTATGTCACTAATTGTAGAACTAACCTTTATTGCTTCTCAATTTAGTAGTTCGTTTCACAGCCTTAAAGAATATATTTATACATTTCCTCTTCAATTCTTTAAAAAATATATTGTCACAAAACAAAACATAAATTTATACAAGAAATGTGTTGGACAGATTCTTAGACACTTGTGCTGTTAACAGGGTCAACTGGACAAAAATGTATCACATTAAAGCACGGTGAAACTGATGGCAAAAAGTCAAATATTGTATTATTGCAGACCATTTTGCTAGAGGTAAATAAGTTTTCTGCTTAAAATTATTTATCAAAAGCAACAAAAGATTCAATCATGTTTACTTTTTAAAAAATATAGGATCACTGTTATATGTTCCTACATATAACATTTTAGTAAAAAATGATGATCTACAAACATTTTCACATAATAAACCTCACGGGAATATCTTAAACAGCTAACAAAAATAACTCTAATTCAATATACAGAATCTCATAGAACTTAATTTTAAGAAAATGTTATTTAATTATGCCAACCTAATGAAAATGAAAACACCAAGAAGCTGTAAATCTGCTAAAGCAAGGTTACTATTAATAATTCCAATGAATATAGAACTAGTTCCATATGGACCATAATTCATATCCCTATATAACAAAAATATGTTATGAATTCAATAACATTTAGGTACAGAGAATATATCCAAAAAAAATATAACAATGGTATCTAACATTATAACTGTATAAAAGGAGTGAACTATATGCTGTGAAGCTTAACTTAAAGAAGTCTGTGAAGATGTGCTAAACAATTTAACAAAAATGGAATAAAAGTAAAAATAAATGCCCAATCAAAATTCTCGAAAAAAATATTTGTATTCTCGGTTTCTGCAAACTTTTACCTTAATTAAGCTAAAGATCTATGTCTTGATTAAAGACGGATTGTATGCATTTACAGTCCAGTCGTTACATTGCTAATCATGTTCTCTGCAAATAAAAAACCAGATGTAGATTTAATTAGAACTATATTATTGTAGTTGTCTGCGAAATCAAGTAAAATATGGCAATATTCCTCTAATCTTTCATCTAGACTTTAATAGAAGACAATGTGTTAGTTCATATTAGCAGTTTTCGGAAGAAGATGTAGGCCTATATATCAATATGTAAAATACTTTTTTTTGTATTTAACCTGGACAAGTTAAAAAAACAGCCATAGTTCAGGATAAATATCTTATCTTACTTTATCTTATATATTACAGACGTTACTTCAAAAAGAAGATAATTACGCCCTATTTAATGTAATTGTTGTTCATTAAAATAATTCGAATTTATTTCTATTTTACTTTACTGTTTCACATCGGTAAAAAAAATGTGTAAGACTATTATTGTAAGACACATGAAATAGCCTACAAATTATATAATTATGAAATTTTTAAAGAAATTTGCCGTTAAATTATATTAGATATATGTACATTTTTAAGTGTAAAGATTACAGATGCCCAAACTGTGACCGCAGATGAGTATTAAGGATTGGCATTTTCAGTCACACAAGAAGCGCTGTAAAGGGAAAATTAAGAGATAAAATGCCACAGGATTAAATGTAAAGTAAGTCATAAACAAATGAACAAAAATATTTTTTTTAAAAAATCTTATATGAAGTTGTATCAATTATTTTTGATCAGCCATGTAATTAAATTTGTAATAGATCTAGATCTATTTATAAAAAGAAAGAGGGCGAACTGAACTGGAGCTCGATGGCTAAAGCCTCCTCAGCCTCCTCAAGCCAATACGGTAACCACTGTGTCAAGGAGATGCATGTGGAAATAGGTTCTATAGTTATTTACAAACTTTCTTTATACTAACAATAAAGGAGACAAATTCAGCGTATACCATCTTATCAGCGAAGTACAATTTCTTTCCCTTGTTCGAGCAACAAAACAAAATAGTTAATTACCAATAGATAATAATTTAATTTAATAATGTTTGTATTGACTCTTGTGTTGTCAGGTAGAAGAAATAATTGTGCAAAACTTCAGCTTGATGACGATAAAAGATAACAATATACTGTTACGATTCTCTCTCCTAATAAGGTCTTCTGTAAACGCTGCTAAACACACAACAACACATCAACACATCAAGAACTTGACAACAAGGCTCCAAATAATCTGGTACTTTAATAATGGTCAAATCAAACAGCCAATACGACACAATTGACAACACAATCAACTGCTACAACGCTAGACTGTATATCACTGTACTAAACTCATAAACTCTACTGTCTCTTCCTGGACTCGTACGTTTCACTGGAGGACTGCACCATGACCGACTTCATGGCTGACTAACAGTCCCGGTCTCATCGCTCTCCGGTCTTGAACTGCGCTTTCTTACACACTGTGTCTCTGGTCTGCGCAGGCTTATGATCAGATGACCATAACACGGGCGCTATTCACGTGCTAAGTTCATGCCAGTACTGTCCCTTGCCTTTCAATATACCAAGCTAAACTGTATTACTGGCCTGTGTCACATGTCAGCTGATCACACACAGTTAACCCTTTTGCGTCGCGAATAGGGTTATAACAATACACTACCAAGTCGTAATCTTACATTATGCTACTCCTCTAAATCAGACAGACAACAGAAAGACCAAAAAAAATTTTTAATTTATGGTCACTATAAACTACTACATCGATATTAACAGTAAAAAACATATTACCTTGTTCCGCTTGTCCAGGTCTCTCATTCCTTTCTGCAATACCAACATTATCTAAATCTGTTAGATTTATTTTAATACTTATTCTCATTGTACAAATTTATCATTAAATTAATGAAAAATGTCTGATTCTATTGAACTATAAGGCAGTCCTTTATATATATATATATATATATATATATATATATATATATATATTTATATATATATATATATATATATATATATATATATATATATATATATATATATATATATATAAAGTTCGTTTCCATATCTTTTACCATGATCATATGCCAAGCAAAAAACAAAGCATTAAAAAAATAGTTTTCAGCTATTGTATTTTTTAATCTATTATTCACCAATTCATCTGATTCCTATTCCATTAACCCGAACGAAAACTGAAGTCTTTTTTTGTATGATTATTATTAGGTTTTTATTTAATTGCACTGCATTTTCACAATTCTAGCCGCCTGTGATTACTTTGTAAATAATGTCTTATGAATGTAGAGAAAAAAAGTTTATACCTTTGAAATTTTTTAAACGCTGACACTCTTTTACTTGCTTTATGCAAATAAACGCAACACAAATTAATATGAGAATTAGGATGGCCATGGTTATTCGAAGCATTATAATTAGTTCGTAATGATGACTAGACGAATCATCTGAAAATCAATTCAAAGATTATGTTATATATTATATTATTTGTTATTGATAGATAGATAGATAGATAGATAGATAGATAGATAGATAGATAGATAGATAGATAGATAGATAGAAAGATAGATAGATAGATAGATAGATAGATAGATAGATAGATAGATAGAAACATAGATAGATAGATAGATAGACAGACAGACAGACAGACAGATAGATAGATAGATAGATAGATTAGATAGATAGATAGATAGATAGATAGATAGATAGATAGATAGATAGATAGATAGATAGATAGATAGATAGATAGATAGATAGATAGATAGATAGATTGATAGATAGATAGATACCCACAATGAATGAGATAGACGAAGTATCCACCCTAATAGAACTCAACAAAGCCTTGAAAACATGACTGCCTGCAAAGCCCCTGGCTGCGATGGTATCCTCCTGATCTTCTAAAACAGTGCAAAACTACATTAAGCAAACCTTTACCCTAATTGCTCTGCAAAAGTTCGCAAGAAGATGCTGTGCCACAGGACCTGCGAGATGCTAAGATCGTTACTATGCAAAAGAACAAAGGTGACAGAAGCGACTGCAACAATTACAGTGGAATTTCAGTTTTAAGTATTGTAGGCCAAGTCTATGCTCGAGTAATACTTGCAAGGTTAGAAAAACTCGCTGATCGGATCTATCCAGAATCACAGTGAGGATTTCGCTAAAGGAGATCCACAATTGACAGGATTTTCTTATCCGCCAACTTTAGAAAAGTTCAGAGAACAAAGAATGCGTTTGTACATCGCGATCATTGACCTGACAAAGGCCTTCGATCTAGTCAGCAGAGATTGACTCTTTAAAATCTTACAGATAATAGGCTGTCCACCCAAGCTGCTAAATGTAACTGTCTCCTTCCACCAAAATATGATGGGTACAGCAGGGGCGTAACTAGGGATTTGTTGACCCGGGGAGATTGACCTCTTTGGGGGCCCCTTGCATTTTGACATTCGACATATGACATGAGATAATATACGCAAAAATATATAAGCCCAAAATCAAATTGGTTCAGTATATTAGTAAACTTAACAAAAAATAATCATTAAGACTCTTTTAATGAATAATACCGTTGTTTATTAGTTAAATAACACACAAGTGACAAATCTCAATTGATATCGCTTCACGTCGTG